TTGTGCAAGCAGAGCAAGGGAACACTACATGATTTCAAATTAAAAAGGGAGTGTGTCAGGGTTGGTACCTATTCAATGTGCATGCTGAGCAAATTATTTGAGAAGCTAGACTGTGAAGAATGTGGCATCAAGATAAAAAGAGACTCATCAAAGACTTGCATTATGCAGATGACATAACCTTGCTTGCTGAAAGTGAGGAGGAACTTGAAGCACTTGTTGCAGAGGATCAAAGAATACATCCTTCAATATGGACTGCAACTCATTATCAAGAAAACAAAAATGCTTACTTCTGGATAGCAACATCATGATAGATGGAGAAAAGACTGAAACTGTCAACAACTTCATCTTACTTGGATTCATAATCAATATCAGCAGTTACAAAATCAGGAGATATTGCACTGGGAAAGTCTACAATAAGGGACCTCTCCAATCTAGTTGAGGTGTAATGATGTCAGTTTGAGGACTACAGTGCATCTAATTCAGACCATGGTCTTCCCCATCACTTGTTATACATTTTAGAGCTGGGCAATGAATAAGGACGACAGAAGAAGAATTAACACCTTTGACTGTGGTGTTAGGAGAAGAGCACTGAACATCCCATGGACGGCCAAGAGAATAAACAGATATACCTTGGAAAGGTACAGCTAGAGTACTCTTTGGAAACAAATATGATAAAGCTTTGCCTCACATACTTTGGCATGTTACTAGGAGGGTGCCATTCCTTAGAGAGGGACATGGTAACTGGAAACGTGGAGGGTCAGCAAAGGACAGGAAGACCCTCAACCAGTTGGAATGCCACAGTGACTGCCACAATGGGCTCAGTGTGTTAGGAAGTGTGAGGATGGCACAGCCTATTAGGGCAAGGTTTAGATCTGTTGTTCAGAGCACTGTTATGAGTTGCACTCGATTCGAGGGCACCTAACAATAACAATACTGTATCTTAAAAGTGTTAATATACTGACTGACAGGTTGTCAAGTTCCAAGAGGCAGAAATAAGTTTTCAAAAATTATAGTTATCTTCTAAAAATCTGTTATTATTGATACAGGCATACGGTATAGGTATACGTGATATCTGTATTTCATCTGTTATCTTCTCTAAAGATATAAGCTCACTTTGTTAATTTTTAGTGTCTGCCAAATACCCAAATCAGTTTGTCCACCAGTGATTCACCTTGGTAAAAAATGTTATTAAATGAAAACAACAACAACAACAACAACAAACAACCCATTAATTTCATTTACAACTCTTAACAATGAGTGTTGTTCTCCAAGACTAGCATCATTATTTTGCTCTGCAGCAGATCTACTTCATGAAAACTTGTGATTCCATTACAGAGAACACAGAAAAGATGTATGTGAGTATTTAAGGACTAAGAAGTAATAAAATCAATAATGTGGTGTCCCTGCCTTGATTAGTGGTAAAAAGCCAGTTGTTTTACATACTACTGCTTTGCACTCTACATTCGAATGCCAACATGCAACAAATGGCAAGTAATATCGTCCTTTTATTATGAAAGCAGTTTTCACTTTGCAGATCCCGAGGGGGTCTCAGGGGCTCCAAAGGTCTGTGGCCTATTCTTACAGAGAATCACTGCAATATAGTATGTCACAAGAACATCCTGTACAAGGCTTTTTAATGATACGGGAGAAAATATGTTCAAGCATATTCAAGTGAAAACCAAGCTTATGTTATTTCACTGGTAGGAACTGTCTGAAATAGAAAAGAAGAAAAAAAAAAGACAACTTATTGCCAATACATATGTAGATATATATATATATGACACTACAGGAGGGAGACCAGAAGGTACTGAAATGCACAAAATCTTTAGGATATATAGTAAGTAAACAAATATTTGTTAATGAGCACTGACCACTGTTAAGAATGTATGTAGGTGTGTGTCACATACACAAATAGAAAAAACAGGTAACTACAGAGAATTGACTGATCAAAGGACAAACAAATCCAAACCCACTGCAATTGAGTCGATTTCCAGCTTAGAGTAATCCTGTCAGAAAGAACAAAACTGCTCCACAAGGTTTCCAAGGCTATGAAACTTTAGGAAAGCCCACCCATTGAGCAGCTGCTGGATCTGAACTTCTGTTACTAGCCAAGTGCTTTCACCATAGGACTGCTAAGAATCAAGAACTATTTATCAAATATTTGTAGCTGTTGAGTCAGTTCCAACTTCATGACCCTATGCATAATAAAATGAAAGAGCACCTGGCACTGTAACTCAAATGCACTGCCATCATTTGTAGCTGTTGATTCAATTCCAACTTCATGACCCTATGCATAATGAAATGAAAGAGCACCTGGCAATGTAACTCAAATGCGCTGTCATCAAGTCATGTCCAACTCACAGTCACCCTCTATTGAGTTTCCAAGGCTGTAAATCACAACAGGAGGAAACTCGTTCTTCCACAGAGCCACCAGTGGATTTAAACCACTGGAGATGCACACTCTCAGGGTTAGCAGCACAACTTGCTACAGACTACAAGACAAGAGCTCCCTGCCTGGCACGATCAAAATTCAAACTCACTGTTGTTGAGTCAGAACTAACTCATAACTGATGCTCCAATGGGTTTCCAAAGCTGTAAACTGCACAGGAGGAGGCTGTCCATCTTTCTCTGTTGGAGCCACTGATGAATTCAAACCGCCAGGGAGCACAGCCTATGAATTAGCAGCACAACTCCTAACAGAGTCGTTAGCGCAACAGGGAGCACTATACCACCCTCAAAACCACTGCGACATTTGAATCTATTGTTACAACCACTCTCAATCCCTCTTGAGGATCTTGTTTTTCCCTCCTTGATGTACTTTATCCAAGTATGATGTCCTCCTCCAGGGACTGCTTCCTCCTGATAACACATGCAAAGTGTGTGAGACAAAGTCTCACCATCTTTCCTTCTAAACGGCATTTTGGCCATACTTTTCCCAAGTTTATGAATTCTCTGGAAGTCTTCAATACATTTAATTGCCAACACCATCTCTCAAAGGCACAGATTCTTCAGCCACCCTTATCCTTTGGTATATGAGACAACTGAAAATATCATGGCTTGAGACAGGTATACTTCAGTATTTAAAGTGAAATCTTTTCTTTTTTTACACCTTAAAGAGATCTTTTGCCTAAAAGTATTATATTTTAGGGCATTATTTTTATCGTAGGAGTATGCAATGAGGGTTGTAG